ACATATATTTATGAGGACAAACACTCAAGAGTACGACTGATTATTAATTATGTAAAAATGTTTGAATGAAAAAGTGAGTTAAAGAGTAGAAAAAATTGATGGAAGAATGCAAATTTTTTAAAAATGTGAATAAATATGAAAATAAAATGTAATAATTAAATATTATATCTTTTTTTAAAACTCTAAATTTAAACACCAATTTTTTTTTAACTCTAAATTTAATGGTGTTATGAGTTTTGTTAATTCTAGACTTGATTTGATAGTTTTATAACATTTAAGTACCAAATTGAGAAAAAAAATCTTTCAGGCCCCTCATTGATAGTTTACCCTTCTTTCGGGTCTTTAATTTGATAGTTTTATGACATTTAAGTCCCGAATTGAGAAAAAAATCTTTCAGGCCCCTCATTGATAGTTTACCCATCTTTCGGGTCTTTAATTTGATAGTTTTATGACATTTAAGTCCTGAATTGAGAAAAAAAATCTTTCAGGCCCCGCATTGATAGTTTACCCATCTTTCGGGTCTTGTATTGATAAAACTCTTATAAATAACTATTGTCTATCATCTAAAATTTATATACATAACTAATAAATTAACTTGTGGTGAACAATTTGACTCGTTTACATCAATAAGTACAAATTTTAAAAGTTCTATAATTACTTTTACTAATTATAATAATTTTATTTATTACTTTTTTTCGTAGTTATTAGCAAGTGTTACAACTTTATTATAAATTTAATATTATTTATCAGATTTAATACTTTTTTACTTTATATTGTTGTTTCATATGTTTTTTTTTATGTGTGTGTGTGTGTAATTTTTAGGTTTGTTAAAAAATACATAAAATTAAGTATAGTGTTATAAATATATATGGTCCACCACCATTGATGTTATTATAAAATAATGTATGTGAATGACTATTTTGCCCCTGATGTAATTGTATTATTATGGTTGTGCCATCAGAAGTTTCCTATAAATAGGAGCTTCAGTTATAATGAAAATTACACCTAAGAGAAACATTTTCTCTATTCTCTCTTTTTTCTCTAGCTTTATAACACGTTATCAGCACGAGTCTCTACCCTCTAGAGCTCGATTTGTAATATGAAGAGAGTATATTCTACGGTTGCATCTTATAGATGAACCCCTGTATCAGAAATTCGATTATTACTTATTGTTTTTATCTTGAATAAAATCCACAGATCAGAACTCTGAATTTTCTCTATACTTTTTAATGATCGAACTAATTTTTCCTAAAACAATCGCCATGCTTAATCACCATGAAAAAGGAAAACTCCAGTCATTTGAATAACCAAAATTTTCTGTGAAAATCAAAAGACCAAATTTTCAAAAGAAGAAAAAAAAGGAAAAGGAAAAATAAAAAGCAAATAAAGAAAGAAAAATCAATGATATACCACCATTTTTACCCACACCTTCTCTCTCCGGAGTCCTGCTTGCACAAGCCATAATAATTCAGTTTTATATTGGAGGAGTTTTTGTTAAAATATAGAAATTATTGAGCGTATTGAGGCAAGAGCTCTGAAATCGAGTTTCCTGGCTCAGGCCGTGAAGACGAACAATCAGATGTTTCAAAACGACGACGTTTGGTGCCTGAAAAAGATTTTCAAGAGGGGTTCTATTTTTCCCAAGAAGATAACCAATTTCCTCAAAAGAAATTGTCCAATAATTCCTTTTCATCGCTAACCGACGGCAACACCGCCGAGAAGCCACCGTCGTCATCCTCGTCGTCTTTTAAGAGGAAGTGCGATTGCGAGAACGTCGGCGCCTCCGGCAAGTGCAGTGGGTCGTCTTCCAGCCACGGCCACTGCTCTANAAAAAAAAAAAAAAAAAGAAGAAAAAGAAATATCGGGAAGTGACGGAAAATAGAGAAATATGGGGAGAGGAAAATATGATTTTCAGAGCAAGCAAACTGTCGGTGGATTTCTTCGCTGCGGTCTTTCGCCGATTGAGGTGAGAAAATTATTATTTCTTGTCTTTAATAATAATACAAAACATGATAAGGCTTAGTGAATAAGGAAAGAAAAATATAAAAAGGGGACGAATGTGAAAAGAAAGTTGAACAAATAAAAGATCTTAGTGTCAGCAAGATTGGTTCATTGCATCTAATAATATTAATTTGGGATACATTAAAATATTATTTGTCAATTTGTTACAAGTTGCAAGCCCACGTAAACTAACACCACCAAATACATGCTAATGATTTTTCAATAAGGACAACATTATTTAATGCATGATGTATTCCATACAAGCATCAATGTTTGTTACATATTTAAAGCACACATTAGTAAAATTAATTTTTGATAATATTATAATGCTTGGGATAATGAGAGCTTCATTTATGATGTAAAACGTGTGCGTTGGGTGCTTGAGATACTCTCTCAAGACGATGATAAATGTTAGAGATACTCTCCCTGAAGAAGAAACAATTAATTCTTATTCATTCAAATTTGCCCTTTACATCTGATAAACCCCCCTTAAATAAAAGAGTCCTACTCTTGCCTAACATGGTGCAAGAGTATAATTTATTTCCTAAAATAAAGATTTTAACTAAGGAAAACAAATAAATGAAAATAAAGGAAACTAAATAATAAAGATAGCAGAATAATACTAAAGCTAAATCTTGAGTCGGTCGAACTTATCCAAAAATGCCAATGCGGCCTCGTCTCCATCATTCCCCCCCGGTTGAGAAGGATTCGGCCTCGAATCCGAACCGGCCTCGTCTACGTCAGAGTTATCACCAGAATAAGGCACCAAGTGTTTGACGTTAAAAACGTCAGAAGTTCGAATATGAGAAGGCAAACGCAAACTATAAGCATTGGGATTAATTTTCTCGAGTACCTCAACGGGCCCAATCTTCCGGGCCGAAAGCTTGTTGTATTCATGGGTAGTGAAACGATCCTTGGTCAAGACTGCCCACACAAAATCGCCCACCTCGAATTCGACGTGCCTACGCCGCAAGTCTGCCTGGCGTTTGTACCCCTCCGTCGTGGCCTCCAAATGAGCCCGAGTCTTGGCATGAATATCACGCAAATCGCCAATAAGATCCACAGCACGCCGATCATTGGATCCTCCCGTCGGTAGAGCGACTAGGTCGGACGGGCCTCGGGGCATGAGGCCGTAGACCGCCTCGAAAGGTGAAATACCAGTGGCACGGCTCACGGCGGAGTTGTGGGCAAACTCGGCCTGACTCAAGCGCTGGTCCCAACTACGGAGATTGTCACCCACAAAACAACGCAACAAATTGCCCAACGAACGATTCACCACTTCTGTCTGCCCATCCGTCTGGGGGTGATAGGCACTACTGAAATCCAGACGGGTATTCTCCATCCGCCACAAGCAACGCCAGAAATGGCTCAAGAATCGAGTATCACGATCAGAGACGATCGAAGAGGGAAGGCCATGTAAGCGGTAGACCTCGCGGAAGAAAAGCTGGGCGACATGGACTGCATCGGTGGTACGCTTGCAGGGAATAAAGTGCACCATCTTTGAGAAACGATCGACGACCACATAAATAGAGTCAAACCCACGCTGAGTGCGGGGTAACCCGACTATAAAGTCCATACTAATCGCACTCCATGGCCGTGAAGGAATGGGCAGTGGTCGGTATAAACCAGCATTCGAGGCAACTCCTTTGGAAACATGGCAAACACGGCAACGCGCAACAAATCTGGACACATCACGACGCAACGAAGGCCAAAAATAAGAACGACCCACTAAAGCTACGGAACGATCACGCCCCACGTGACCCGCCCCATGAAGATCGGCGATCAATTTTAATCGAAGACTGCAATCGGGAATGCACAACCGAAGCCCCCGAAAGAGAAACCCATCAACGAGTGTGTAGTCCTCAAAGGGGCCAGTAGTAAGAGATCGCACAATGGGACCAAAGAAAGAGTCGTCAGCATAAAGTTCGCGTAACACATCAAATCCAATCACCGAAACCCGCATATCCGTCAATAATAATGCCCGACGACTCAAGGCATCAGCCACTTTATTCGAAGCGCCCGACCGATGGCGTAGCACAAATGTAAACTGCTGTAAAAAGGCCGCCCAAGAAGCATGACGGGCCGAAAT